TAAAGTACCAATAACACATGGGTATCGATGCGATTTCGGTGTAAATCTGTATATTTCAATATAAATATGTCTGGGTTGAGTATGCAAGTTAAATCCGTGCAGTTACACTTGCAAAATGTGTGTAGTTCAACTTATTCAAGTCAGTGTTATGCCTTCTAGTAAAAACATGTGCAGACCCATATTGCTAAATCTGTATATTTCAACATAGATAAGACTGGGTGAAGTCTACAGTCATAGTTCTGTACGTACTTACATCGAAACAACGAAGTGTCAAAGGTTAATATCGGGGCTAACAGATGTCCACTGAAAGAATCAGCATTGCTACTGCGTATGTCCCGATGCAAATGCAAGCGTTGAGAATTGAAAATTAACAAATTAATATATTTCTCATCATAATTCACTAATATTTTATGAAAATTAATATATTTCCTACCACAATTTACTAGCAAATTCCATTCTCCCAACCATAAAACATAAGGAATTCAGCCGTTTCTAACTTTCTTTGGTTTGTACGGGCCGGTACTTCAGACGGTTTGGTTCGGCCTAACAATCTGGTCGCAAAAAACCACTTTACAACTTCACCCTCTTCGGCGGCCCTACTTGGACCGATCAATTTTGGTTCGGCTTTCTACGGGCTCTCTATTTCTATATGTTAATTAAAACTAGCAGTGCTACTGCTGCAGTGCCAACTTCAGTTGTCGTTGTAACATACAGAGATTGTGGGAATTAATACATTAAAAGTGGGAGGTTTTAGAGTACCAATTTCACCGGTGCATGTTTTGACGTGAATAAAGGCTGTCGAAAGTAATAAATGCAAAAAAAAAGCCAGGAGTGCTGTGATTCCTCTGTATGCTGATGTGAATGTATAAGAAACTGAAACGTAAAGAAAGACTAGAACATAAAGACGATAATATTAATAATATAAAATATTAATAATATTGAGGTATCTATGATAATATTGGTAAGGTATCTATGTGTATGTGTAAATTTGTACAAATTGCAATAACCAGTACGTGTAAGTTGAAGCTAACAATGCAAAAAGTGTTGAATCCGTGAAAATTTGCTGAACCTCTTGTGCGCGAAAAATCTAACATAGCGGATGTGTCCGATATTTCTTGAACGGTACAAAAAAGAATGATGAAGGCTTCTAGGCTGACTGTTAAGTTCAATGAAAGAGCTCCGATACCAGGACAACCGTGCGAAAGTATGCTGATGCGCTGTTAGCGCAAAGTTTCGCTATAACGAAAAAAAAAAAGCCCAAAAAAGCTTATCATTTCTCTGCTAAATGAGGTTTCTGGAATGAATGAATGGTCGTAAGACCAAGAAATGAGGATATGAAATAGATAGTGAAGCGAATATGTTTATTATAAAAAGTTAAGAAGATGTAAGGAGGGCATGTAGGGAAGCTAAATGTGAAACTAGCTGTCTGTGTTTCATCCCTAAGCTACAAACACAGACAGTATGCGGTGTGGATTGGGGTGTTCACCTTTCAGCACTTCTGCTCCTAGCGATTCCCAGTGCACCGAAGCATCTCAATCATCTCTAAACCTGACTCTCTGGTACTGCACCGAACTCAAATAATTCACATTTTGGAGGCATAAACAACGGGATGAAAACTATTTTTAGATATTTGAGAACTCCTCCCCCCGCCCCCTTCCCCCCACCCCTCCCCACCCATTAGAATATTCAATTTGTAAAGTTCTTATTCATAAAAATGATTCAGCACGTTTGAAATTCATAGTTCCTCTTCAACTTATCATCCCTCTGCCCCATTCCCATGAAAACTCCTTAAATTTGCTAAAAGGCCGCTTTTTTGCATTGCCCTCATCTCATTTCTGTAATTTTAATGAATTCAACACTTACTTGTCGACACAGGCAATAGATCTTTTCTGCTTCATCTATCGCTACTTCATCTACTCCGCCCGTCTCCATAGCACTTGTTCGTCGCTTTCTTGTCAGACGTGTTCGTCCAGTAGCGCGTTTTTTCTGTATTGGTCGTCCTTCAACCGCGCCTGGCGCCTTCATTTTCTTTCGACGCACTGATAAACTCTTAAAAAAAACAAGAGATGAATCCATTATATTTGACAAAAGAAAAAAAATTAACTGATAACCCCTACAAAGCCGTAATATACATCGGATGTCAGCAAATTTTTTGCTTCGTTCACTCTCTCTCTCTCACTAAAACTGCAGCCATTTTGAAGGTCAAAGGCCAAAAATTTCAAGTCAAAAATTTTAAGCTAAAAATTTTCAGCAAAAAATTCTCACGTGATCAGTAGCAGAGAGGGCTGCGGCTCTTCCTCTCATAACAGACTGGGCTTGCGGATCCCTTTCGGCACGGCGTGAAACTGCCATCTTATCAAGCTGCTTTAATCGAGGCGCTTTTGTCTTTGTTGTTGGTTCTGTAAATAGTCTTTTCGTCAACTTTTAAAATTCTTACCCTCCGCAAAAAACAAAATTCGAAATTAAAACACCCACATATTCGCTCTCTATGACAGATACGAACATTCAGAAAGTAGTCCAAGTGGTTGCAAAATGTCAAAAGCAACCATCGCTGTCGATGTGTTCCTCTTCCGAGGGTTGCTCAGAAAGAAGCTGAGGCGGGATTGATCGCCTGGCCCGGGCCAGTACCGTCAACACAAATAAACAATTCGTAGTGAAATTGGTAGTCCCATCGGCGAAGTCGAACCTCTGCCTTATTGAACGACAGCAGTTCTACTTCTCAATGCACCATATTCATCAGCAGATCATTAAAATCCATCAAAAAACTGTAAAAAGTTGTCAGTGAAGTCAAGTGAAGATAAACTCTGCGCCCAAAAACTTACTGAAAAAATACCAAAAAAAAAAAAAAAAATCGACAAAGGATATTCGTGTGAGTTACGTGCACATATGTGCTCATATTCTCCCACTTTCAACTCAAG